TAAATTTTGCACCTGATAGTTGGTTAGCTAATCGTAACCCAGTCATCGTTAATTTTATTAATACTATTACTCATAACGATAATGATAATACTAATACATTAAATGAAAAAGTTTTTAAAAAAATGGTTGCTATCGATACGATATATGGATCAAGACATAAAAACTATGTATCAGAAATAAATCTAGCCATATCCAGGATAAAATATTCACTAGCACGATCTAAAACAATCGTTGACATCGATAATCATATAACTAGTTCTAGAAGTTATACGAAATTTGTTAATTGGCTAGAATCGTTAGCAATCGAAAATGAACCTTTACCTAAGGGGCTTTTATTTTTGGCCTTCGACAATGAACAACGAGGTCAACATAATTATCTTGATCGTGGACGTAATACCGTAATATATCATACAGTTACGAGTTTTGTTGCATTAAATATGAATAAAATTGATCATGCACAATTTACGATTACACCTTGGTTTTACGATTCTCTAACAAATAAACAATATGAAGAATTATATTATATTACACCAGAAATGAAAGTGGAATATGAATTAGAGTTGAATAAATACTTATTATCGATCTTGAAAGACCTTATTACCGAAAAAAATGAAAAAATAAATGCTATAGATCTTGTTATAAAAAATCAAAAGGGTGTCGGAAGTCAATCTAAATGGTGCAAAAATTGCAATGCAACTAATATTGATAATAAAAAACGTACTTGTCCTCAGTGTAATGAGAAATTAGATACATTGGCTACTTTGCAAGCAGAATCGGCTAAAGAATTTAATAATATGGTCTCCCCATCAAAGAACCTTATAATAAAGTCTCATGTATATGATCATGAAAAAAAAAGTTCTCATTTCGAACATATTAGCATTACGCAACGATCGGAACCTGAATATGATGTTATTGTTCCAGAAATGTACGTGCCCGATCCATTAGAGTTAAATCCTAATTCGGTAAATAACGTCAAAAAAGTTCTTGAATACATACAAAATATTGCAGAAATAGATCAAGG